CACTATAATACCGTACATTACTTAGCTAATATTTTAATAGTACTAGAAGCTGGGAATAAGCAGTGGTGATGCTACCAGATCAATAGGGTTTCCCTTTTCTCTAGACGAGCTCGGTTCCTCGTGGAAATTGTTCTTCTTCTGTAATTCCAACGAATCCGATTATAAACTAATATAAAAGAAAAAGGATCGCTTCTAGCGCGCCTGGTTGCCTGTAACTTTCTGCGTTCTTCCTAGCCTGTTTTTTCTCTAAATAATGTTTTCGTAAGGTTTTTTTTTTCTATATCCCATTGTTTTTTTCAATCCGCGTATGCGCTTGACATACACAAACAGTTCTTAATTTTTGGGTTAGTAAACATGTTTCTGACGGTCTCATGTGTCGAACATACCGCCATTGTGTATATGAGATTGCTTTCTCGCCCTGCATTAATCTAAGCGCGGCATGCCGGGAGCGTTGGCCTTCGAAAGAATATTATAAACCTTATAACAGTTATCAACAATCTTCCAGGGACTTTTTTTTAAACACATAGTTTACTTTTAACCTACTCTGACCTTCTCCCTGTATGTTAAAATAACCTGTGGGGTGTTACCGCAAAGGCCCTCTAGAAGAGGGCCCACGGCATCACTGGACCTACTTTAATATCTCGCCGAAAACCGCAAAGGGTGAGTCTACATTGCAAAGTGCTAGCCTTGATACGAAGTACTACATGCTATGGTGCCTTTCTATTTGCTGTTGGCTGGATTTTTTCCAAACAGACCTAGGAAACGGCATACTATAGTAATCACTTGAAATTAAGGCTAGTGATGTCCGCCTGTCAATAGCTACTATAGCAACATTGAAAGACCTAACCTAACAGCTAACCTAACCTAACCTAACAGCTAACCTAACCTAACCTAACCTAACAGCTAACCTAACAGCTAACCTAACCTAAACATAGTTCGTTTGAGTTGACTAAACTGATAGCACCTTTATTACTTGCTTTTGGCTCTTAAGCATCTTAGTAGTGCCGTCTAAACTAATAATAGGAAGGGGCTTAAATTTGACCTTTTTTAATGCGTCTTACGAATATAGCGGTGTGATGTACTCTTACATTGAAGAAATAACTCTGAAGCATTGCCTAGCGGTCGTCCCGGACATTAAATTCTAAACATTTTTCACGAGTAAAAACTATCACCGGTTTTCAGGATTTCGTCTGGGACTGAGCCTGGATATGGATACTTGGAGGGGTGTTCTTCCTGAACTGAATTATGTTTCAGAGGACCAAACAAAAACCCCTCAAAATGAGTCGGGTCATAGTCACGACCAGTTGATTTTGAACGACCACTAAAAGCTGCAGATGTGACGACATTCACACGTTCTTAACAGCTCTAAACCAAACACAAATCAAATAACCCGAGACGTGTTAAATTAGGATCTCTATACTAACTCGACCTAGTCAACAATTTCCCTACGCAAAAACGTTTTATATAGTCTATATAGGGATTGTGCGGTTCGCTACTTGCGGAAGTCGATACGTAAGACAAGTTAGGCATAATACCAATGCTAAACAAAATGCCTTAAACAGTTTTTGCTAATAGACCTCATTGTTATGATTTCTGATTACATCATATTTTCATTGCTTATAAATGGTGCCTGACATATCTTGTCAAAACTATCCCGGTAATTGATAGAACAATATTCGAAAATATCTTACTATAGCGTCAATTAACGTAAACGTATCCAAGAGACGCTCTGCGACTGTAGCTACACGATGTGTTCTAAAAAAAAATATATTATATACTGTATATGTTCGTAGAAACATTTCAAAATGATCAAACTGAAAGGAACTCAAGTAGCGACGGACAGTTAGACCGCCCAGAGCTTAAACACCGGTCGAAGCGGCTTCGTAAGCATTATTTACGGTATGGACACACGTAACTGCCTGTGACACCTGCGGGCTGTTTTTCTGCCGTGAAAAATATGGTTGCAGTGAATAATGGGAATATCTGCAAACGCCTGTAACTGTACTAGCGGAAGCTAACAATAGATTCAAAAAAAAGTCGTTATGTGGATATAATTTCATAGCTTTTGAGTGGTAAGCTCCTACCTTCTTCATGTCATGTTTGACTGCTTTCAGTTGGAAAGCCTAAATATATCGCAGTCATGAATCCCTGTACAATTCAAATATGTAGAACGATATCAACGTAAGACCTAACGTCCAGCCGCGCATCACCAATGAACAATTGCAATATTCCCACATGTGCATACATGCACATCGAAAGGGTCACGGTTCCGCACGTTTCTTCAGAACCAATTGAAAAGTATCACTATAAGACTTATCTAGACAATAGGAAAAATGAAAAGAAAAAAAAACAATTCGTATTTTAAAATCATTTGAGTTTTCCTCATGTGCGCAGACTGATGTACCTCCGCTAAACATGTTAAAAATGTTTTGCCTGCACTAGTAATGTTTTGAACGAGAACTTGAAGGTCAGACACCTCGGTGAGGATCTTCCACGTATGGTCCATACAAGATTACCCTGTCTCAAGTTAGGTGCATTCTCTGTAGCGCGTTCCTGTTATTTTTTTTCATGACGTATTAAACCTTAAATGGTTCAATACAAATATTTTCAATTAGTCAACTTATTTTTGACAACACTCCACGACTCAGAGGCGTCGTAGTTGAAACCGCATGAGCGCTGCGCGCCTCGTATGAAAGATGGCTTAAGTGAAAGGATTTCAAGTGACATCAATACGATGGAGGATGTTTTCAGTGACTCTATTAACAATCAATAACTTATAGGCTACGAAAAAATATTGAGGTAGTGCTTTTCTAATGCTAGCACTTTATCGGTGCCATAATTTCGATGCTGAAGTGGTTTTTGTCTTGCCTCAAAAACCCACATAATATTGCAATACGTAATATTTCATAAAACGGTACGACTCGCAACAGATTTTCAGAAAAGTTTATGTTGCTGTCGAAAACTGTCGGTCGATTGCGATCGCGGACAAAACTTTTCAGGCCAGGGGAAACACGGCTTTTTTAAGTTTTCTTCCTTTTTCCGCGCACGCTAGCCGTGGTCCTAAAGCCGACAGCTAGTATAAGGTTGAGTCTTTGAATATCACCTCGTATTGCGTTATATAAGATGCTTTCGAGTTTTCGGGTCAATGCACTACTTATTATATCAGCCGCTAGGGTGTTCTATTGTATTTTAGACGGTATTAGAATTCTAGACCACTCGTAAACAACACAAATTACCGAGCAAATTTATTTTGAAATTCATAGACGTAAGGGAAGTATCATCCGTACGGGCAAGTTCGACCCTATACTAAAGCCTCACAAGAGCAAAGCTGGTTTTTGTATTCGAATTAGGAAAGTTAGCTTCTGCTTTGTCCTTACCGCATACGGAGCTAATCACACAAAGTTACGAAGCTAAAGACACAACGCAACAAGCACTTAGTAACTAGGAGGAGCTACAGCAGACGTTTGTAAAAAAATTGAGACGGCGTCTTTCAACTCATGTGGTATACAAAACAAAAGCGAGATCCTGGCCGAAAAATGGTTAGTGAATCGTAATAAGCTACAGCGGTACAAATGTCGACTCTTTGATAAAGGGAAACTACTTTGCCTAATTTCGATTGAAGTACGCATCAAAACACATCGTGACCTTTCGATTCACTGAATGAAGTATCCTTTTGTGCTAACTTACTGAAAGTTAGCATAGTAAAAAATGCAATAACAATGAAGTAACGACATGTAGTTGTTGTTATTGTTAAGAAAACGATGCACAGAACATCAAGGGCGCACTTCTAGGCTTTGGCCAACATAAGTGATCGAATATATAACAAGAAACGCTAAAATTTGTCTGGAACATCGCGAAGGACTATTACATTTTTCGCGATGTTTCAACTGCGTGAACGGAGCTGAATTTACTAGTAATAGATAAACTTCTATAGGTTGCACATGAATCGATTAATACATCCTATCAACATGTCAATGCTGAGCGGTAAAAGAAATCAGACTCTTCGTTTTCCTTTAGACCTTATAACAATAATATCTATTCCGAAGGCTTGCCGGAGGCTCCGTCCAAGTCCGACAATAGCATTGTCGAGTGCTGCCACTTAGAACTAACATAATTAAACAACTTATTGGATTTCAACTGGCAATGAAGTTCGGGGTTATAAGTCCCTTGTTATGCGGCAGTTAGAGGAATCAATTTATGAAAGCAAATCCACGTTCCGAAGCAGATTTGTATAATAATTTGAACCAAAAACTGAAAATGGAGGGAGGAACGCATTTCCAGCGATTCCTACTTTTAATGGATAAGGCTGGTGGAAAACTAGCACGGCTGAAGTATAATATTTTGTAATCTAGTTATCCCTTCTTACTTGTGCTCTTTATATTTCGCAGGTACGTTTACTCGTTTGCCCTCGAAGCAGCTTAGTGAGTAACGTATATTCCTGCTAGTCTAGAGGACACGTTTTGGTCGAAGTTCGAAATCGGGCATAGGCACACTTCGATCCGTGCTAGGCCCGACGACGATGCCAAAAGTGAAAACCGAAACATAGAGAGATACGCTCATTTGGACCCTGACTAAACCGAGAAGACACTTTTTGCATGAGATCCGCCTTTCATACTCAGCCTGCGCAATTCTAGAAATGAATAGATTGGTTGATGCTTTTTGCTTCAACTGAACCATTACCTACGACGTTGATGTACATCACTGATACTTATTTTAGTAGGCTGAGTCCTGAGTACTGTGTGTCTGTCTGTAGGTTGCTGGTAGGCATATTACCATTAAGAAAACTCTCTGTTACCTTCGCTCAGCGATACCGCTTCATTCAACGGCACCGCTAGCGGCACCCTCGTCCCTCCCCAGTTAACATCGGCCCTCGCCCTGGTAGGCAGCCCTGTCGGACAGCTCCAGCAGGTGCCCCGAGAGCTTGGGCTTGGGCAGCATCGGCGCCCAGCGACACAGGTGGTCTAATGCACGTTAATGATCGTAAAGCGGCTAGCGTTGTGCCTGCTATAATGCCGCTGGGCAACAACAACAACAACAACAAACAAATTGTTCTTGTCTAAGTGTCGACCGAAACAAGCGCCGCACTATGGCAGAAGCATTCAGTTAAATCGGCATCGGAAACAGCAGCAGCAACAGCGGCCCGATAGCAACAAAAGCAATAGTTCGGTATCAGCTACTGCTGCCGCCGCCGTGGCACAGCAAGATTAACGCGCGACAAGGAGATGTAGCGTCGGCAGCTACAATCAACTACCAGATCATGATAGTAGACTAAGTAGCAGTGGCGATGGTCGACGTTACCCGTCAGTCAAGCAAGTTCGACGAGCGCCACATACGGCGGCATCTGTGGCCGCTGCTTTAATCGCCGTCATCGTCACCGTCGCCGTAGTCGTCGACGCATGAGCCCCAAATGTGGCTAGCAGTCCGACAAGTGCGTCACCACAGCTGCCTCCGTCGTAAGTTAGCAAAGGTAAAGAGTTTGGCCCTGTAGCCCGTTCAACGATGCAAAACATTCGCATGAATTGGCCAGCCACCCGCAATGATGACTGCTAACTGAAGAGGTGCGCGATTCGTGCTGGCTTACGTCTTCAACAGCAGCTACCGATTCTCTTAAGCTACTTAGATTAGTGAAAATTCCGTAACTTCAGTTCATCTTGCGATAGAAGATGTTGCGACTACTGGCCGCCGATTAGCAAGTTTCGTAACTTCTACTGAGAGTCATCATTGGATTTCTTGGCTTAAGTGTTGACGAAGGTGTCGCGGTGAAGGTGCGCGGATCGTGACTAGCTGACTAAGTGCATTAGAAAGTATTCATACGAACCTATAGGAAGATACCCGCCTTGGCGCATATGTACTTTGCGAAATCCGCGGCATACATCTTTCTAGACCCACGTGAACGTCATACCAGGGATGTACCATTATGGCTAAAATTGGCCGCTATCATAGTGATCGAAGTGCAGCGCGGATCAACAGGCAATTCTGAGTTCTGCGCGTCCGTTCTGTTAGAAAGATATCATTGCAGCGGAATATTGGGCCAGCGTCAGACCCAAGCATGGGAACGAGAACTATAGTGACCATATCTTTTGCAGTATGGTTGATAACATCAGTGTTGCTTATATGTGAAGCCAAGCATTCCATTGGCCATCTCGGAACCATAAGTAAGTTCATGTTATTTGACACACACACGCTTAACCTCCGAAACACTAGGAGCCCATTTCACCTAAACCAACGCGCATTTAAACATCAATTATCAGTCACAAGCCCATATAGTACCTGAGTGTAAGAAATATATATGATCATATGTACCAGTTAGAATTTGTACCATGACCACGTACGAAGAAGTTATTGTCTCTCCTAACAACTACGGACATTCAAAAAAAAAAAAACTGTCAATCTGTTAGTGTTTCAACAACAATTGCATTGGCATGATATTATGTGAGCACATAGATGTTACCCAAGATTAACGTAGGAAATGAGAGTAGATACATAAATAAAAAAAAAAAAAACGAAAACGAGAGAAATCCGCCGGCTGGCCGGATGTCCTCTAAAGCGGTCAGCAAATAATTGAGTTATTCAAATAAACCGACAGGGGCACGAACGATCTGCTGTGTATCTACACTGAAAAAGTCGTATGAAAAAGTGTATGGCTTGAAACTTTATTATAGAATTTCAATAAAGTTAGGTACGGCTGGTACTGCTACCACAGGGTCCTTTGTGAGAGCTACGTGATTATATAGTTTGACGTCTTACAATTTTATGGAATTCCTATTCAGAAACCCTTTGCTACTGAAGTTTGCTATAATCCATCAACTGCAGATATATATATATATATATATAGATTGATATATATATATATCTCTATATATATATATATATATATATGCAATATAGAGCTTGCCACGTCTAACAATGTTTCGTAAAACCAAAGTGTGTGCAGTACAGAGAACGGTGTGCAGGAAGTTCTCAGCTAACCCTCAGTCCTCTCGAACACGGGTTTCCTCAGTGAATCAGATGCGCTTGAATTGATTACATAACGTACCTGCCGTCGGACACAATTTCTAAGTTTCATTGTTTGCAGGTCGCTGATCACAGCATAAGACGTGTTTCCCCCCAACAAAATGGCTTCTTTTTTTTATTCTTCTGTGATACAGATCTCGCGTAGGGCCCTTGCTTCATGACGACTTTATCGGACCAAGTGCTATGGCATTGTCTAGCAAGAGGGCGCGACTCATTGCGCTGTGACGCGGTTGTTACAATGACGGACCAGTTCGCCGTCATCAGGCCACCATTTCGAAGTTGCTGCCAATCAGGCACACGTTTCGTTACACCTCTCACCTTTGTCGATGATCCTGCTTTAGCATCAATTCGAGCTATGTCAGTCACTCGGTATCGATGATTGCTACATACTATTCTGGACCTGGGTATTGAATAAGCAACAGCTCACTAAGCTTTATTTTTAAGCACGTATTATATCGCATTATTTTGCATTGATCGCAATGCTGCAAGATTTCGAAACGAGAGATTCAACGAGAGACAGACAGACAATTTTACCTAAGCATAAAATTTTAGCGGAAATACTTGCATGTGTTTTCTAATTTTTGCGTTGCAGACTAACTTCGTTTTTTCCTGGTGCACGTTAGTGGAAATAATTTGTCAAACATCCAGCATCACTAGATAAATTGCTAAACTGTTAGTGACAAATATATGCCTGTGGTATCTTATGAGACAGAAAGTTCTGTGCACTGGGAATGGTTGTCTGTTACGACGCTAACGTTTACAACATCCATGCCCGTCCAAATTCTAAACGATTTATATTGCCCTGACGGAAAGGGGAGGCATTATAGCTTCGAAAGCGTACACGCAAAATTTGTAAATAATATTATGGTGTGAATTGTGGCGGCGTTTAAAAATAGAACCTGGCAAAACGCTAACCGCTTCGTACTACGACGTACGCAGAGTGCGACGCCAAATTTGCAGTGCCACAAACACACATGTGTCACGCAAGAAATGCTCCCACGGCCCAATCCGAATTAGATCGCCTCCATAGATAAGGGCAAACAGTACGTGCAAGTCTCAGTCTCATTTAAATAGCTTCCCAATCGTATAACAAACACTCTGTGGGAATTGTACCGATCTACACTCGAACTGTTGCTTTTTCTAAACCGTAAAGTAAGCCTCTAAGACCCAAATGCGATTCTGTTTGTTTGCACAGCTATACAAGTAAGATGAGCTTTATCAAGTTACCATACTTCACTATATGAACGCCTGGCGATACGACCGGTCTTCGTCACCGAAGATTTCTAGGAACACGCTTCGTTTTGGTGCTACGGGCGACTTTGTTTTACAAACAAGGCGGAGTTCTCGATTGCCATCAAAACAACGTGTTTCGTCAGCCCGAAATAATCTGCACTTGAGATAAATTCGTACTGGAATATGGGATACGCTCCATTTAGCGATACTACATTATTAGAAAACACATTGTCTTCCGTATGTTTTCCAATATCGATCATTGAATAGCAAAAGCCTATTTAGTCCTAGAAAAAAAAACTTATTAAATGTCGGTTCGATTTCCATCTGCTGTATTACATGCTGCTCGTACAACTGAACACTTTTTGCCATTAAACACAACTGCCCACTGATTACGAACGGCGAGGCGGGATCTATAATTTGTTATTTTTAAGAAAAAGTCACTGACAACGAAAAATATCGTTGGTGCTTGCCAGCGCCATAGGGACACTCTGGCGGGACTGAGCTGGCAACTACATGCACATATCTAGCGCCTATTGGGCCGCTTGCTTATTCTTAGAATTCTTGCTATTATCAACTTTGTAAAGTGTCACTCTGTTGGACCACAGTAGAGATGTAGGGGCCGCAAACATTCGATGACTCAGTTATCAGACCAGAGCGAAAGTTGCCCTCTTAGCCACCGGACCAGAATTACGTCAGCAAGTGCTTCCCTCTTTCACTCGCGGCCGCCGCCATTGCCATCACTTACAGCCTTCACGATCCCGTCCTTGTAGTCCTGATTGTTACTGTTGTTGTTGTCGTCGTCGTCATCGTCATTATGGCCAGTAGTCACAATAACGACAGCAAAACATGAAATATAGAGCCATTAATAATGATCGTAATACCGACAACCGGAACGGCTGTCGTAGAAGACAGCCCGAGTGGTGGTAAGCCAAAGACAATCATTGTTGGTACAGGGGTATCAATCGTTAACTATCCTAACGGTAATCGCAAAACAGGACTAAAATTTTTAAAACGACGAACGGGCAGTTACGGAAAACGAACTAGACACGTATATGTTATGTAGTATCACGCACTGATCACAGCGCTGACCAGACCAACGGAACAAAATCGATTGTTGACGAAGCAGAGGCGTCATTAATTGAAAACGATAACACTGTGCCGCCATCGCGACATCGAAGTCGTTGAATGGGTCACAAAACTCAGTGCGCCGATGGCCGTAGCAGCGGAACGAGCGACAATGACTTCAAACTGATATTTCTAAGCTAACTTCATAAGCTATTAAGGGCAAGCGATACAGCGTACAGTGGTAAGTAGACGGTGGTGAGCGCATTTCTCATCTGCTTGGAAAGCTGCATCTACTGCATTTGGCAGACATCGTTACGAAAGTAACAGAAGTTTTATGGGCAAATTTGAAACGGTAGTTTTGTTTTGATTTGACACTGTTGCCTACATTCTGCTACTCGAGCGCCTGGTTTATACGAAACCCCTCGGCGATACCGCCAGCATTATAGTGATATTTCATGGCCACTAGTGCCCAAATTGTGAAAATATCATTATTATACCGCCTGTCGTTAAAAGCGATACACAGAAACCCCGGGGTCATAAATACCCCGGCTTATATGCTTTTATACTTGACCGATTTGAACTCATTTAGCCGACTTGGGTTTATTTTCGTCGTCGCCGAGAAATTGAAACCAGTATCAAAGCTGATGCTGTGATATCGTTGACTGCGAACAAAGCTCCGTGTGGTCTATATAGAAAAAATTGTTTTACTGAGAAAAATTTCGTTAGTAAGGTAACATATACGAGGCTCCTTCTCAAACGTTCACACGTCGACAGAGTAGTCAATTTCGCTATGGTTAGTAAGTACGTATAGATCACTTTTTCTTGTCCAGTGAAACGCAATTTTTTTTTCTGTATAAAACAGCATGTTGTGAAAGTATCTTAGTCATTGACCTTTCAAATGTAGCAGTTCACACATGTTAGGTTCGATTACATTGCCAGTCGAAGGACTATTGAGATTGTTTTCAGTGTGACACAGAAGTTGACTTTCTTTCTTGGAAGCTGTATTACTTGGACTCTTGCCCATGACATCAGATATTACTCGCTTCTTGTCCTCATAATAGCTGGCAAGAACGGCAAAACGAGCTTCCAGTGTTATCTAATAGCAGCAATAATAACTTCGTCTTGGTGACCCCCACATTCGAAATAAGGCAACGTAGACCAAAGCTAATGGTGTTATGAATTGCAGAAACCAAATGCCGTAATATCAAAAATCAGGTAAGTTTTTTTTACCGGCGAAAAACGATACTTAACAGAAGCTAGAGAGCTTTTTTTTTTCCATCAACAAGCCAAAATATTAAAAAAAAACTAGCAAGAAAAAAATTTCGACCAAAAACATCCACAGAGATTTGCTAAAAAGCCGTAATGAGATATTGTCGTACGCATTCTTATTGTTTATATTATATCATTTAATCTTCGAATATTTAGTTAACGTCGTGAAAAAAACGTGTGGCTTTCATCAACTGGACAACAAAATGCCAACGCCAGAGCGACCGCAGCGACACCTATTTGTTATTTACGTAAGCAATTATTTCTATTAGATAGCTGAGAATTATCGCAGTACATTTGTTGGTTTTCTTTTTTCTTGTTTATTTTTTTTTATGAACTGTCGAGCCACGCCACGTTGTTGTTAATAGTTGTACTATTAATTGCCGTGTAGGGAAGGTGTGTGTGGGTTTTACCTAAGTGATAATAATAAGTATACCATTTTGTCGTTTTTTTCTTCATACGACGACGCCGCGTGAAGGTAGACGTAGCTCTTCATAAAATATCCAGAAATAGAAGTCGGATCCAACGCGAACCGCTCGTGTCCCATTGACAGGCGTAACGAGATCCTTCAAATTAATTGATGCTACCTCATACCTCCTCTTGAACCTCACTTTAAGACAGCGCCTTACTTCAGTAGAGCAATATATTTCATAACAATAGAAGTCCGATTATTATTATCGCCAAGAATTTGTTCTTAATTAACATTAGAATGTAGTCAAGTAAGATTTGTTACAAATGACCCGGTTGAACCTAGTAATTTTCTTAGCTTCGTTAAAAATACACCATCGAATTAAATGCGTGCTACGAGATTATCGACAGCACAAGTTACCAGGTGGAGCTTCGTTTGCCATATTTAGGTTGGAAAATTCATTTGTCAGACCTCTATTATCGAGATACCATAAATATTTTGACGTGATCTCTTTATTTTTGATGGCCCGTTTTCCTCTTGCAAATAAGATCTGGAACATTTTCTGTAGGAGTGAAAGCGATAAGAGCACCAAGATGACTGGTGAAAGATGACTTTGAAAATAGCCATAAAATATGCGCGACAGCAATTGGAATAGTAGCGATATAAAGGAAACAGTTCACACGGGCGAGTCTTTACTCGATCAAGATCTAGTAGTTTGCTTATTTCTTTTTGTATTTAAGTGTATTTTATTGAAGATAAACTTAGTTCTAAAAAACCACTAGCGACAACTGATCATTCGGTGGACGAAAACTGGGCAAAATAAAGTTCGTTGTCATTTTTTTTCTAGATGGCAAAAACATGTCACAACATAAATTAGTATAACGGTAGCCTTATGTGCTAAAATCATACTTTGATTTTTAACAGTGTTTTGTACAGTCACAAAGCATGCACAGTTTGCCTCGAGCTGGAAGGCGGCCAGCCATCAAAAGCAATGTTCAACAGCTTACCACCGAAACCGGAAACACTTATAGATCGGTTGGTATGGTTGAGACAAACAGCGGCTCTGAGGCGACACTTCAAAGCAATAACGAACGTAAAAACAGACCTATTTAGGTGATTTGATGCAATCATTAAATTGACTATATATTGATAGAATCCACAGAAGCTGTAAGGAGCTACGGGAATGCTCTAGGAATACACGGCAGGTTTCTTTACTAGGAACACAGGGTATGGCAAATGTTTGAAATTGCTGCAAATACTCATTACTGCAAAAACTCAAATATGGAATATATAATGCCGGTATGTAAAATCAGGAGGCTTTACACTGGATGATCCTACACACTACTATCGGTTCATTAATTAATAGCTTCTTCTTGCATTTAGGAGCTTCATCAGATTCAGCGGTGGTTCGACTACGTAATAGGCCAAAGCCTTCTGTAAGAAGAGGTATCACTGTCAACAATAAACTGGTATATTAATAAGTTCAAGTTCGCCTTCTGTTACGACCTCGTTCGGGTAAATCGAGCTCGTATAGACTCGGCTATTTTTTTTTTCTAAACACGATTACTGAAATCTGGAATTGTTTGTCGAAAGAATGCCTGGGCTACCATTTATTAAAAGTTCTTCGCCAGCTAAATAGGGCCTCTTTCGACGGAATAGACATCCGGGTAAGTTATGGGTTTAGTCGCGGCGAAATGTGTGTGGCGCCGTCAGAGTGGCTCGACCAGAAGGAAGCCTATCATAATTACGTGAGACTCGCCATTTAAAGCTCATTTTGGGCAGCTTTTATCATCGAACGCATCAGATGTCGTCGCAGGCAGTATACCCAAGGCGATGCTGAATGAATGGTATTACCGCTGGCCATCGCGCTACAGCTTATAGCCTTTTTTTCGAATTTGTAGACTGAACCACTTTTCGACTATCACTTGCTACATGTAGGAATTTCTCAGTGGAAAGAATGTAAATATAAGAATAGTTATGAAATCATTCTTTGTCAGGGCACAAAAACGATAACGATCACATTTGTGTTAAGTTAAAGTAAATTGTGGGTCTGCTTCTTTGGCCTGATAACCGTAGTGGCTTAGGTTTGCTAGTAATTAGTTGACTTGCTCAAGTTAAAGTCGATAACAGACGGCTTTGGAACGGCATCAGTCGCCGGGTTTTATATAAATAATATGTTGTAGCAACAGCAATCGTAGATTGTGCTTAACACACCCAGAACGAAAGCGTTAGTGTCAAATCTCTAAGCGCTCTTAAAGAATCTATTGTTAATGCACGGCATGTGCTAGGCTAGGGATTACGTAATTTTACGTACGTCGAGCAAGTCCTTCCACCTTTGCTGGTTTGCTAGCATCATGTAAAGGGCCTCTTTACAAGTTTATTTCATAATACATGGAGTTGAGGATGGTCTGTTTAAAGGATGTAGTATAGAGGTGGGGTATTGGTAGAAATGCTGATCAATCCACTATTTCAGCCCTTCTATTATTTATAAATGCTCGTGAAGCTTTGCTGGCTGGAAAGATTTCGTTTAAATTTATTCTTCTTACGTTCTGGGCACTTTATGAATTTATGTGTATACGCTGACTCCAAGCGTGACAAAAACGAAGGAGTCATACTTTTGTTGCAGTTTTATATAGAAGAAATTGGCTCAAACATAGCCAGAAACATAGACGTAATATAAAGCAGTTCACTTGTGTAAGTGCATAAACTGACTTTGGCTAAACTGGAAGGTCATTCCATAGCCCAGAGTCGAACATTTTTACTAACACTTTACGTATCGAACCCCTAGCGAAGAGCGCTTCCCTAAACGGTACTATGATCCACGAGCTGTCCAATGCTGACATGATGCTGTTCGTATCTGCCTGCGTGCATTTGTGTGCGTGCGTCAAACAGAACGGAAAAATGTTTCATTCGATCCGATTTAGCATCAGCAGCTTCAGCAACAGATCCAGATTGAAGTTTAGTTTTAATAGTCGTCCCATAGAAACGGCGGATTCATTGGCGTCAATCAGAGGATGACGCCATTAGTCCCGGGAGGGCAACTGGCGCAATAAAAAGCTATGATCTTCCCACCGTTCCCCATCGGCCGAGCAAACAGGTTGTGGGAGGAGCATTAATGGGACCTCGACATGGCATTTAGATTTATAGACGTATTCAGCTACTCTACTCGATTTAAATATAGAACGTACCCGTACGTATGTTCGTATAGTGTTAAGTATCTCAGATGTTCTGAGTAACATGTTGGTGCATGCGATCGGATGCTCCGCTATGATGTCAATGGCCCGGTTAGAAAGATTATACGAGTCAGGGTTTTACGAAGGTCCTACGTTTCACAACGCTAGTAATATCCATTAACGCTTGATTATACTTGATGCGGTGAGGTCACGCCCGCAGAAACAAAGGGGTCGACGAAGCATCCATCGTTTCGCGTTACCAACAAGAGCACCTACTAGACATGCTCTAGCAACTTTCGTTCTTCAACAGCTTCACGTTCGACAATGGAAAACTGCTAAGAGTTATCAGGGTTGAAGGCAAACGTGTGCTTAGCTTCTCGCAGGTGTACAAAAGCGTGACAATAACAACGCGGGAAAAATTTGGATTTATAATTGGATATAATGAGGAAGAGCGACTAGTGAATCGAGTGGCCAAAGAATACGATTCCATCACGGATTTTGAAAGCCATTTGATTACTATGTCTGTGCACAGATACTTATCTCTCAGAAAGAAGGGACGCCCTTAAAGGAGTCGAGTGATCCAATGAGCTCTTACCTCACACGTGTCAGAAGGCAGAATCACTTAATCGACAGCACGGAAGAAAAGTAGCCGCTGATAGCTTGTCACAGAGCTTCGAAGTATACTATCGTTCTCGTAAAGGCATCAAGCTTGACAGCGCTCATCATATACAATAGTTAAGGTATTTTCTGCTACGTGTTCAGGTCGGAATGCCGATCTATAAAGACACTCTCTAGCTTTGTATCTACGCACGTTTAAATAATTTCTTATTTTCACGGGACTCGTGTAACTTTCATATTAAATTAAGCAACTCGCTGCGCAAAGCTCTACAGAATATATGGACGCTATATGTGGTTGACGTGCGTAGGGAAACGCTATGTATATCACTGAGACACCTGTTAGGACGAGTTTCAGTACTTCAGGTCTCAGTTTATTTCTGATAATTAGGAAACAAAGCACGCCGGCTGAAACTTCTCGTCAGAGTGACGAGAAAAAAACAATGATAATAGTACTACAGTTCAAAAGACGCAGAGGTCTTTCTCAACTGTTCCACTGGCAGCTGTTGCATCGTTGCGTCTACGTGTATGAGATATCATTCGAATGTGTAAACTCAGTTGACTTTACAGTATTAAGCTGTCGGCTATCTTTAATACGTGTCTTACATCCGCAAAGGGTCAGAGATCAGCCCGTTTGATCACACTTTGAGCACGAAGCTAAGAGAACGATTATCAGAAAGCAGAGCGGACGCGAAACTATTTCGGTATTCAAACATAGACACAGACGTATTCCATGCGTATTTGCAGTGGCAACTCCAGTGTAGTATATCAGTATTGATTATGATGGTTACGATACACATATCCAGTCTACAATGAACAGAAGCTGTAGCAATTATCGAGTGCTGAAACCTTCTGTGAAATTATTGAAGATGGGTAAATAATGGTATAAGTATTCAGTTCTTTCCACTCCATCGAAAATTCAATAAGTTAATTGGGGACGCGTAAGTTGGACGCGTAAGTTGCAGGGCAGTAAATCTCTAACGATTATCGATGAAAATGTTATTAGGCCTAAATAAAACTACTATAAATGTTTACTGATTTTGACTTTTTACGTAATAGTTAGATGACTTGAATATTAATGTACATGTTTTAGTTTACCTTCGAGAAGAGTCTTCACTGCACTGTTCGACGAGCAAGATTGTTGGCACTAAAATCGCTTATAGATGGTAATACAACAAAAGCCGGATTCGTTTGACACAACTTTGTGGCTGGCAGAACACGATTGTCAAGCACGTAAAATGCTTTTATCAATAATGACAATACCAGAAGAGCTGTCCCCCTCCGATTTCCTTTTGATCCGATTGATTAGATACGCTTTCGTATAGCTACTATGTAGCGATTATGGTTTCGACTTAATATCATCAAATGGAGCGTTAAGTTCAAGCAATTTTGCGAAAGCAAAAATGTCACGCCAAAAGACAATGTTCAGTGTATCGTATCTGTCCCATTACACACTATCTAGAATAACCAGGACCAACGCTTCAACAAAGACCTCTCGGTCTCCTTATCGGAACTATCGGCCAACTCGCCAGGCTACAGTTGGCAAGGAACTAACACTGATATCTGTGTCTATGACGTACAGGAAGAAAGTAACGGCAAAGGTACCGATTTCAGATAATTTCGTTGTCCTTCAAACTAGATCATTTTGTATACGTCTTATGACATGAATCGAAAAAAAAACAGATTTCACAGAGCATCACCTACGGTAAAAGTAGCATGACTGTGTGCGAAACCCGCCGGTCTTCATATACGATCAGGTATTGGCTGTTAAATGCTATAGAAGGATCGAATTCCGGCATGTTTACTCGATTTGCTGGCGGAAAATTTAAACAATAGTTACTTGTTTAGGTTATATTATTTAGTGCCCCCTCTCTCCCCCGGCCGCCGCCGCCGCCGCTGTGTGCCGTGCTTCATCGTTTCAACTGTAATGATTAGACATCTGTAACGGCAGAAAACCACGGGTACAGAGAGTATTTTGCTACCTCAGATACCGTGACGGCAACCGTTATAGGGACGTGGAATTTTAAGGGCACGTAGACTAGAAGGGGGCGCAGATGCGTGTTCAAAATTTATAATCAGAGACAAGCATGTAGCAACACAACAATCTGAAAATGCCTGTCAGGATTGTAGTCTGTATGGCCTTATTTTTAGATCTTTATGAATCATCGTGAATCGTATGGATTTTTTAGACTCTCTACTACCGTCTCTTCTGTTTCCTGCTTGTTTATATGGCAATAATAGTAACACTAGAAACACTTTTGGACTTTTATTTTTATTCTAAAATTATATGTCATACCGTTCAGGGCTACTTCGAGGCTGTGTGAACAAGGTAAACTGCTAGTGGAAACATATTCGATGGTCTGTTTTTTCAGCTACTGACCTGGGAGGCCAACAGACGAGAAAAACAGGAATGAAAGTGAAAGTAAGTGCCATTGCTATGTCTCATTTTCAATATTCGTTAACTGAGGTAATTTCTTGCCTATGTAAGGCCAAATCTTTGGTCTACTTGGTTAGTTTTGCTATTCAGACGAGTATCTATTTTTAGTCTGCTGACTTTAAATTATCGATTTAAAGAAACCCGCTTACTAAGCAGACTAAGCCACTACTATACGTCGTCAGGAAAAAAGCGTCGTTGAAAAATTGCTCATCGACTTGAAGGGGCCCCCGATGCTGGAAACAAAGACGATTCAATCACAGTGGTTAAACTTCACCAATGCAGATCGTCGTGCGGTGACTAAAATAAAACGGCGTCAAAGATGTTTACGTAGCTCGCCTCTCTGCATGTATCAGAAATTCTAGTTCTGTACTAAAGCTCCGCGGAATATAATATATACCTCCTAATATAATAAATACCCCTCCGACTGTGTAAGGCACACATAATTTTGCGTTTGATCCGAGTGATTCGGCGACTGCATTGTTTTGGCGAAATGTATCGGACTTCTCGTATGCAGGGCTGCCCTATCACATCATTAAGTACACACTTCAATGTAAATAACCGATTCATACGTTACAGGCGTTTTTAATGTCCACAGGGCTGGATTCCCATTTGATTACGTGCTGTAACCGGTTTTTGAGGGAGCTAATAAAGGGTACTGCAAGTTAGTTAATAAAGTTTTATGGAACTTGACAAACGAATACTGGACACATACTCTGTGACAATAACCATTTCTCAGGTCAAGTACCTTCGCGGAAGGGAGCCTATTCCTGACCAAAGACAAGGAACTTCACGTTTAGTATGTAAAAAATAAATGTATAACAAATAAACTAATACAGGCACACACACAGAAATGAGCTAATCGCTCCTATTAAGAAAGGCGTTGTGACTATTGTCCCCATGACCGTGACCTTACGATAAGACATATGGTACGAATATATGGCGAAAGGATGCCGAATACTTTTCGCTCAGGATGTGAGTGCATGACATGTCTGAAGAGCAGGCGGCAGAGGAATAAATATAATGAAGATTTAGAAATGATAATACTGACATCTGCTAAGAAATCTAATGCTTATTGCACTGACTAACTGCTAGCTAGTATGCTAAGTAAACGGGAAGCAACAATGCTACACGAGCTGTCAAAGCCTCTCATTACTGAGGTAGCATTGGTAAGGTCCTGTTTACAGCCTTATCAGGAACACGCCTGAGGTGTCAAAGGCCAGAACCGGTTACACCGCCGCTAACGATATTGAGCTTCCTTTCGAAGTGATTTCTGCAACGTAGGAAGCATTCGGAGCCTGATCACGCGTAAAATCACCTAATTGAATTGTTAGTGGATAAAAGCGTAGCGAAAATGTTTAACATAACGAAGAAAACAAAATTCATATATGGTATAAGAGTCTGCAAAAAGAACACGACTCTTACAAGACATTAATCTTTATATGGTATTGTTTCAAGTACCATATCAGATCGCGTGATATCATCATCATTGCACTAGTATTTCTATTAGTGTGAAAGGTAAAGGATTTGAGCGAAAAATTCAATCTGTCCGAGTGTAAAAAACAGCCAATAGTACCACTGTAGCTGGCACTATTGTTTGTTTATGAGTACACATCATGAAGTGGCATAATGTCTAACCGAATTAGACCTCAATTGCACACTCTATATTGTCTTAGCGATTTGTTATTATAATCCATATTAAAGGAGTTCATGAAAAAAGGATTGTTTATTATGAGGTAATACAGGAAAAAAATATGTAAATGGTGATATAATTGATACGTGACACAAGTTAGACTAGCTGCGGATTTCAAGTTACGAACTTAATAATACATTTTTATATCGAGATGCACTGGAAGCTTACAGGTTTTAGCTAGCTTATTGTAGGCCTATCGTTGTGTTATGTTGTTAACTTCGCAGTTCGTCGTCCGAAGGCCGAAATGAAATAGCAACCTGCTTTAACTTAGAATAGGGTTGTCAAAGAGGAAATTGCTAAGAGAACAGAGGGCCTATTGCAAATACTATGTCATGAATGAAACGCAAGTTACTTTATCTGCGCCCCAAAACTGCTAAGCAGGATAGATTGTCTAGAATATACTATAACATATACTAAATATTCTAAGAAAACCTGGCAGGTTTCTACTATATGATGTGTTCCAATACGGTAACCCGTATCGGATACTGGAGAAGCGAGATTAGTCTCGTGCCGATGGAGATTCGCGCTTTGATGCAGCGTAGATGCAATTTAGGACCAGCAAATTTAGGACGTTATTTTAGCATTTAGTTATTTCTTATGACTGCCTACCCACCGCCAAACAAGAATAAAGCTTAACGCTATCGCCATGCCGATTACTTTTTAGTTATAATGCATAAAAGCTAAAATGCGTCCAGAAATATTTAGAAATTATTCCACTGTAAGTGGTCCTTACTTCGGTAGGATACAACACACGCATCTCTTCGATCAAAATCTAACTAATTTATAGTGAATAGCAGAGATGTTTGGCACAGATGACAATACGTAATATGGTCCCTAAAAAAATCGGGATTTTTCCATATGTTCTACTTGTTGGCTTACATTGTGAGCCTTCAAGGGAATTAGAACAAGATCAGGACTATTGCAATGCTTGCTTTTCAATCTTAGTTCTATACGTCATTGGTAGATCTTATTATCTATATCTCTACAGCCATGATACCTAATCAGTGACGCACATAACACACACATCAATTGTAGTACCACCCGCGTACCACGTTACTGTTTTCGAGTCACTAATCTAGTAATAAGCATCACTATTAGCATAACCGAAACACCGCTAGCAATTCCGTCACGTAATGCAACGGCTCTAAAGGTCCGTACAAAACGAAGCTTTCCGACGAGTTTATCGATGCAACTGTTTAAAGAATAGGACAGTCTACGCGGCTCAGACCAATACGAAGATGGGCAACTCAAGGGAGGAGCCCTAGGCGACCGGCTGCTATACCTCATCCTGGTTGCACCGTAACCAGGTTAAGGCTGAAAAAATTATTTCGAGAATCAAGTATAAATTATGAAACTCTTCATACGGTTAGTTGACAAGAAGAACAATGAAAATGAATCGATAGCGAAGTTATCATATAACCTTACTGTGTCTTCGTGCAGGCTACCGGGTGGTTGCTGACGAGATTATTGTAAGCTAGATAAAGCTAGGTAAAGCTTTGTTGACATACTTCGGTGCAACTACTTACGTACATCGTAGAATTCGTTTGAGCGTTAACTAAGTCCAAAATCGTTTAACTCTACTGGGAAACGGTAACTACACCAATTGTAACAATGTTTTGAAAAACATAACGCAAAAAGTCGTGTTCTTGTCGTTGTCGTAAACAACAAAAACTACTACAGTATGATCGTAAGACTGACTGTTGCATTTTTTGGTGCATTTTGCCAGAGCGACGCAAATCATAGAAAAATTGGGCTGATAAATAATCGCAAAACCACCGACAAATGAATATTTCTAATTTCAAGATGGATAATTGGTGTGGTGCGCATGCGTGAGAATGGCCGACATATGTTATCGACTGTACCTAAAATGTCGTATATCAGTGACAAAGGATCAATGTGTTTTACGTAACACGCGTACTATTAAATATGCCTCGTCTGTTGCTAAAAGTAAATTTTAATTGCCACTATCATAGGTCTCCACCAACTACAAAGCGTTTGACAGGTCACACGGAGTTCAGTCGTCCACTGACGCCTTTCAAAATGCACTTAATTATCGCTGTAATCCTGGCACCAAACCAGCTTTAACTTACACTCAAACTTTAGTTATAGTATTTTAAAACGTCGAATATAAAATGCTTTTAATCCGCAATTATATACGAATTCTAAGCATCGGGATTACTTAGCACGTAAAAGGCTGAGTAAATAAACAATCAAAACGAAAATCACAAACAGTTTAACATTTAACAGTTTATACAATAAACGCAAATCGAACCTCAGTGTTTAGGTTGATGGGGCTGTTTGGGCACGGGGCCATAAAGGCCATTCTAGACTAGCACTAGGACCATAGAGAGGTAAAAACAACCACACATACCATCACGTTTTGCATTCAGAATTTCGTACAATTTTGGTTGAACTTTATCCTATTTAATTTTAAAAAAAATGGGGCGACTTGAACCAGTTACGTATTTCTTTTTTCTACTGTTTATGACGTCTCTTAACTTATGAAGAAGCCAAACAAACAGCTAGTTGTCTATCCATGTTTTATCTATTCCGATATGTCTTTGTTATCTAATAGGGACTAAAAGTAAGCCACATCTTACGGAGGTGACTACAGTTCAACATGTTAAATAGATTAGAATATGATTGAGCGGGAGACTATATGGGCGTAGAGCCCATATAGTCCTCCACTTAATAAACCAGTATGCCGTTGACCATTTTTTGGTTGTAGAGTATACCGTCAATGTCATACTATATGACAGCTCGTAACTGAACTTCTGTTTGACACGTACAAATAGTAGCGCGGCCTGTGTACTTCCAATATTTTTTTGTGAAAACATTACTGAAATATGGATGCCGATAAAGCGTCGCCCTAAGCACGACATTTGTACGGTTAATAGAGTCTAGTGTAGACTTAACTGAACATGACGCTTTTTAATACACTCCCATATAGTCCCGTTAGCGTATGTACATAGCTGTCCTCTACTTTAATGATGATTTCTCATATAAAATTATAGAATAGAAAAAAAATACCAAATTGTGATACTATCAGATCGTGTTTAGCGAAAGAGATTCAACTATGCGAAGATGCGCTTCTTTAAGATCGGATTCAAAGGATTATATTATGGAGTGAGCCATTCTTTATTGAATAATGTTTGGTCTTTCAATTCTTAAATACCTGCATAGCAATATATCTTGAATTTATTGATAAAGGCTAGAATAAAAAGCAATTGCCCTTCTACCGAGTGGCATTAATAAAGCGATGGTAAACAATACTAATACACTAATATATATTCGTCCGACACATACCTTTTTAATTTTATTAGTCCTTAAATAAGGTTCCATTTGAACCAGTTGTAGAGTGAATACCACCGCCATACCATACCATACCATACCACCAGATTCTGGTGTATCTCACTCTACAACTGGTTGTCGTAGAAGAAATTTACATCTTCATAATACACATAGTTCTATAACGCAATCATAAATCTTGCGTAAGTTCTCAACATCACGCTTATTCCATCGAATGAACTGATCAGTGACCGTAAACAAATATCCCTTTATATTGTATACAATTATGCGTTGAACTATACGAACGGCTAGTGGCTGTCATGCCACCATCGCGCCTAGCAGCAGCAGCAGCAGCAGCAGTGGAAGCTGTTGGTGACCTTTAGG